GGCATAGGCTTGTGTACCGGGTAAGGGCGGTCGACGGGTATCTATATCTATATCTATATCTATATTTATATCTACATCTATATCTACCGGGTACGGTAAGTTTTTCTCGACCACTAGTGGGTACGGTTGGGCCATCTCCTTGATTGTGGTTTTGGACAATACTTTGCCGTGTCCATGGTGATCACCAGCCGCTTCATATCCATAACCTGTGTCGAAAATACCTTTGAAGTTAAATCCAGAAATTARATTAAACCATTTTTGGAGGTCTGTGATTACCGCCTACTTGTATTGACACCTGGGATAACTCTAAATAGTGCTCAAAACTATAATTTAAACAAGCGTAGGAAGAAAAAGATTTGGCGGTAAAATCCAAAATGTTTTATAGCGACTAAAATTAAATATTAATATTATTATTATTCAATACCTTCCCACCCATTTGATAATTTAAAATTTTTATCCTAGCCTATCACTTAGCGACTAKCGTACCTACCTATAAGCTCTATATACTGAATTAAGTGAAAGACTTACATTATGACTACCATACCTAGTGTAATCATGATTGTTTGTTACTTGTATGTACTCAGAATTATTGCTAATATTTTTATTRATGTGATATAAATCATAAAAGTATTCTATTAATTTTTTTTGTGAAAATAATTTTTAAACCAAAACATAAATGTAGTATTTTTTGTACGGCTAATAGTAAGACATTAATGGCGAATTAGCCTCGTAAACATAATATATTATACCTAATTTGTTCAAACATAGTTTATATAATACTTATACACATAATTTAGGTACACAACAATTTATATACAACGGTCAACGACTATAATCGACTCGTTATTATGTATATATATTATATATACTACGTAATCTCGATTTCATTACAATAAATTMTGGTTTYGGAAATTTTCTCTGTTTATTAAGTAGAATTTAAAATCCTCATTGAAATGAAAAGAAAATTTATATTAAGTACAATTTWATCGTTTTTTGTGACAAATATATTATAATTAAAAGTGATCTCAACTGAARCATAATAGAAACATAAAATATGAAACGCTTGTAACACTGTGTTKATRATAAATATTATTTTTACGAAAAATGTAAAAGAGAAAAAAATAACTATATTTTTATTTATGTCTAATAAAAATAAAATATAGTTAAAAAATCTAGCATTTACCACTATAAAAATAATTATGTACACAAGAATTTTATTGTACGTATATTGTGTATATTTTATGATT